AGTTCGTCTGTCGATTCGAAAATTATTGAATTATCTTAAGGAAGGCTTTATCAATTAAGTATCTGAACAGTTTTGTGGTCGTCAAAAGATTTGATTAGTTACCTCCATTGTCCATGGCTGCTACAGCTGGCACTTGTTTGGCTTGGATACATAGAGAAAAAGATTAATACAAAAATGCTTGATTTGCTGCACTGGAGAACAAGTCAAGAGCAAATGAATTCAACAATCTTTTTGTCGAGCAAGATAAATGATTAGCTAACCGGCACTCGCACGCTCTTGTGGCACCTCAAGCAACTGCCTTGGGTGTTGCCTGGCTTGCCCTGCTGCATCTGCCTTGCTGGAGCTCGTCTGTGCTTGCGACATCCCGGGCAGCTGCCTGGCTTGCCCTGCCGCATCAACTTTACTTAAGCTGGCAACCTGGATGTCGCTGCCACCTAGTATTCACAAATAGTGATGTAAACCATTGCACTATGCAGGGGTGAGACAGGTGAAACAGGTTTTGGAGCAATTTTTCGAGCAGAAAAATCTGGATTTTGGAGCAGCTTAGGAGCACAAAATTTTTCTTTTGGAGCACCAGTTTATGCATTTCGGAGCAACTTCAGAGCAGAAAAGTCTGTAGTTTGGAGCAGATTAGGAGCAGAAAATGTTAGAGCAGCTTATCAGAAATTAAAATCATAAAAGATCTGATATAAATCACATAAATCAAATTTTTCTTTTTTTAATCATTATTTTTGTCCACCGTGGTTTCAATAAGTCATCAGCGCCAATATGCACCGATAAAAAATAAAATAAAAACGCAAAAGGCAAACGAGAGTTTTATGCACATAGATGAGGACAGGGAACACAGGCTTGCAGCAAATTTAGGTGGGCATCAGATACCTCAAGCTTATACGAACTGGTGGCAAAGCGCAATTGTAGTGCAAAACTTTTTAAAGCGGTGATTCAAGAGCATGAACAGAGAAGTATGGTTTACAACAACCAGACGTCAATTGGACGCTCGTAGAAAGCATGTGCAGATGGAAAAAAAGACTCCCCACAAAAGTGAGTCACAAGGTAAATAGTGAATTGGTAGAAAATCTATGAGCACCACATGCACGCTAAATATCTGACCTATTTATTCGATTGCTCACGCACTGGAAGCACGTGTGTGATACTCACGGCGAAGTCCATTTGGACGAGATTACGGACACGAATAAACAATTACACAATGGAGGCGCTCAATAGCACTTTTTAGAAAAGGTTTACTTTCAAAACGAAAAGAATACTTATGTTTGCTCATCTTGATAGCCTGTGCATCATACCTCCCACGGCCAGACAGCGAGATCGCGTGACAGCGCACCGTTAGCATGCAGTCACAAATGACACCGGAAAGCAGTAGGAAAATCGGGAAAAGATTACGTATCATAGGTATAGAAGGGTACTACAGCTTAAATCTTTAAATACGGTGGTTTCTTGCACCACCCTGAACCCGTGCCGTGTACTTTACTACGACGGTTGTATGTTGCCAACCAAGCTCTGGTTTTCGCTAAATCTAGCGTCGCCGCAAACTTTTTTTTTGGTTACTTTGGTGCAGTGTGGCACAATTTCGACCGATTTTGCGTTTTTGGAGCAAATAGGCGCAGAAAATTGGGTTTGTATCAAAACGGCGCAATTAGTGCAGATGTCACACTTCTTATACAACTTGAATTTCTCTAGCTCAGGGTGAAGTAGCAAAGAGAGAAGTATCAGTACTTTCTTAAGCTCATAAGTAGTTAGTTTAACATACTGCTCAACATCAGCCATTGCACCACGAAAAACATTTCTTATACAATACCTTGATGTTGACGAACTATTTGCTCCAGCACAGGTTGAACTGGAAGGAAAAAAGTTGCATAATTACATTTCTACCTTATAAATGCATATTTATAATTCGAACACTGCTTAAGAATATAACTTTTTTATTTATCAGCTACCAAACCAAACAAAGCAGAATGCCAGTAGCACTGTAGACAACTCCACTATTTACGGTAATCAGTCCGGCAAGCACATACTTGCAACTGTAGCGAGCCAGAAAATGCGCTTACCAGACTCACCAACACAGCAATTAATGCGCCCTTAGACGCTTTTATAGAAAGAAATATACTGTGAATCTATTGCGATGACTTTAACAAATTGTCTTTTTTTTTGCTTAAAGCACAAATTTATACATTCCTGTCTTGGATGCCAAAGCAACTAGAAAACTAACTCGTCATGTTGATGTTCAGATATGCTTATGTGTATGGCTGATTATCCAATGGCTAAAATGCTGAACATTGATTCCATATATTTCACACATATGGGCCGTGCACATATGTCACAATGAAGAGGTGTATGTATACTCGTGCAGGACAGGTACTTACGAGAAAATAATCTTGAGTCGACAGTTGCCTCAAGGTAGGCAATCTACCCGCGGAGTAGACCCACTTCTTGTTGAGAGAGTTCATATTTTTTTTGCCAGTGTTTGGCATCCCTGCTTGCCATTTTCACCTGCATTTTGGCCTGGCTTGCAGGGATGACTTCCTCGTCAGAGTCTGACGTCTCGATGGAAATCTTCTTGGCCTGCCATTTTAAAAAAATTGCATATGTTAGCACCAGTTGTTGGCAAGGATTTTGATGGAAAGGTGGATAAATAAGCACTCTTCCTGTTCAATTTAATGCATTACCAGCATTCATTGCTTAGCTTTCACTCAGATTAGTGTAATACTTTTGCCACAAAAAAAACAACTAATATACTTACTCCATGCTTGCCAGACACGTTGGAAGCTCCTGCCGCCGTGTTCTCCTTCCTGGAGTGCTTAAGATGTTGTATGAGGATGTTGTCAAACTGTTGTTTTTTTGCCAGTGCCTGGTGTGACTACTTTTTCTTCAATTCCTTGACATAAAAAGTAGGTAGAATGTTAATAGACCATAAAAAAGAATGCGAGTTCACCATTTTTAAGAATAAATTTTTATTTGGCAACATGCCGCTCATAAAATCAGGAGTGCGGGGCTTGTCTCTTGTTTGTCACCGTACGTCCTGTCCTCCACACAAAGTTCGGCAGTGCATCAAAAGCACATTCATAGCCTGTGTTTCCATGCTAATAAGGAACAGCCAAAACTATCATGGTCCTGCTGGGAGCGTGCTGGTTTTGGCGGTGCAAACAAAAACAAATTGTGCACTTCTTGTTGAACAAAAAGTTACTTTACATATAGCTTCAGGCTAAAATGCAGTTTTCTACATTGCTTCAAATGTGGAAGGCTCACATGTTTGTCCTTCGTCCTCAGTACCCCCAAATCGTCTTCCTCCTCACTTTTGTCAGAGTCATTCAGGCGAGGAATCTTGACTCTTGTAATCTCTCTTTGTCGATTGAGCTCGGCTTCAGTCTCTGCGACAAGGGCAAGTATACGAAAGAAACATTAATATATGACTCTTACTAGTAATGAACGGTTTTAAGTCAGCCAAAAGAGCTCAGAGTATGTAGAATATAAGAAATGTTTCATCAGCTGTGTGACATGCCCAAAGATGATTTTCTGACATTCTCCAGGTGATAATTGTGCCACAAACCACAATTGTGTGTTAAAAAAAATAAAGAAAAAGCTTATAAACCACTGTGTCCAGCAACCCTTTGTAAATTTGATATTTTTTTAAAGCTGGCAATTACAGGTCGTGTTTACAAAGGCTTCGTCATTGTAAGAGAATTTTCCCTCACTTATACCAACTTCTAAGTTGGTAAGTTCTAAGAAACTTACACGGTACCCGTGTGAGTTTCAGGAACATTCGGCGTAGATCGTTCGGCACGTAAAACATTCGTACTTCGATCTTCTCGAAATTGCAAAAATGCTAAATTGGAAACAAAAAAAAACAAAAAGACGCGCTGCTCTTGGGAACTGAACCGTGCGGCTTTTTGCGCGGAGCACGAAAGCCAAGCACGGTAGTCGCTCGGCCATGCACGCGCTCGCTCGCTCGGCGACGCGCGTGCAACTGCACTTTCGACAAACAAAAAAATTAATAAATAAAAGACGCGCCGTTTCCAGGAATTGAGACCGGGGCCTCCGCACGAAAGCGAAGCACGCTAGCCACTCGGCCACGCAGGAGCTCGCTTCGAACGCCGTTAGCACATGCACGTTCGTGCACGCACATTCTGGCCCATTCACGCACGTGGTTCGCTCACGCACGTTTAGGCATATTAACGTATGCGCGCAGAGATGGTGTAAACTAACTTTAGAATGTAGCACATGTACGTCATACAACAGATGCCAAGACCGCGATGCCATCGGCGTCGGGCTCTGAAAGATGACACGCTCTATACACATACATGCTATACATGAATAAAAATATACATACGTGCCAGCAGGAGAATTTGGATAGGATAGTTTCCTGTGTTGTTTGGTTCTGCCTCGTCCAGCCAGGAACATGTGTAAATTTTTTTGCTGTTAAAGTCTCTTTCGTTCTTAGGCTTAAAATTCTGAATGTCAGAACAGGGGACAGTGTGAAAGCGGTTATCGTTGTCATCCACGAACCGGGCTAGTGCGTACATTCTGGTCTTGGAACTGCTCTCAAAAGATTAAAAACTACTGTAGAAATCAACTTGCGGCGCTTGCTCACGTGCGAATCAACAATGGAACGAGCTGTGCGGATTGGATTTGGATTGCAATTAATGTTCTCTCGGGCTTCGGCTTTGCGTTTGTAAAAACAAAAGCACGATTTGATAATGTATTTCGGTGCCACAATATTTGGCGATTCCGAACGCTATGCTCTAAAACAATTTTAAAAATCGGCGGATTATATTGTTTTTGTTTTTCTAGGCTTCTGTTAATATATTTTTATCATTTTTTTGAAAGCAAAGTGTGTTAAGTCGATTGAGACAAGTGGCCTTACAACATTGTAAACAAAATGGCCGCATGACAAGACGCGCAAGACGGAACAGTGATGGCGGTGGGAGTGTTGTACAAAAACGTTTGCGTTTGTCAACTCCGCTAATACGGGGCAGTTTTATGAAATGATGTTTGCCAACGCCGCTGATGCAGGGCAGTTTTCCGAAACGAATGCTCCTAAACAGGCAGTGAAACGCAAGATTTATTTGGAGCCTAAAGGCGGCAAAATTCCAAGATCCACCCTGTCTCGTTTGCTACGAGATTCTCACAGCACGACTGAAGTTTCCACGGAAAATTGAGCATCACTGGATGAATGTGTTCCTCCAGCGCGTGACATACCATCGACGGCACCTTTGACTCCTGAGCCGCAGGAGAACTTAGACGATTCGGCTACTCTGGACGAAGCCTCTGCGAATCATCCTGTGGACGCACAAGATGATCCAAATGAAGACCATGTTTTTGAGGATCTAGGAGAATGGTTTCGAAAAAACCAAGAACAGTTCAGTGTTCCCTTCATTCCATCTGGCCCCTTAACCCTGGGGGATGCCTTCATGATGGTCATGGACTATGCGTTGACAATAGGCCTGTCATACTCGGATACAGAGCAGTTGCTTAAGCTAGTCAACAAACTTGTGCAAGCTAAGGCTTTTCCCGAAAGCAAGTATTTGTTTCAGAAGTTTTGTGGAATAAGTATGTCAGAAATTACATTTCACTTCTACTGCCCTCACTGCATGACGATCGTTGCGAAATGTTCTGGAGAACTTTCCAAAAGGAAGAATGTAAACGTCAAGTGCTCCATCTGCGAGCAGCATTACAGAGGACCACAACTCGTCAGAGATGGCCGTTTTTTCGTAAGCATGCCAGTAGAGAAGCAGCTAGCATCACTTCTTGCCAGCAAGAAAGTCGGTTCAGCTTTACATACAAACCTGAACAAAATCGCATCAGAACCTTCGAACGTGTCCATGAATGACATAACTGATGGTGCACTGTATCGCAAGAAAAGACAAGATTTGGGTATGGCAGACATGGACTTCACAGTGACGGTCAACTCGGATGGCAGCCCCATGTTTAAATCCTCCAAATATTCCATTTGGCCCGTTCAACTTAGTATCAACGAGCTGCCACCACTGCTCCGTTTTAACAATGTGCTGATGCCAGTACTTTGGTATGGGGCAACCAAACCCAACATGACCATGCTGCTCCAAGCTTTTGCCGATGGACTGCAAACTCTGAACAATGGCGGAATTAACTGGAAGACTGAGGATGAAGTAGTTAATTCAAAGGTAAGGAGCTATATTACTGCCCTGCCAATTGCATTCAAATCTTACTGAAACAATGACTTTCACAGTGTTATAATGGTAACATTCTTATCAACACATACAGGTGTTCTGCATTTGCTGTTGTGCTGACGCTCCTGCGAGGGCTGCTATGCAGGAGTCGACCCAGTACAACGTATACTTTGGATGCAACTGGTGTTACCACCCTGGAGTCTGCGTTGGAGGCAAGTGTCTGGATCATTTTTGATCGGAGTGAACACTCCTAGTACTTAGCGGGTGCTGTTCACATGTACTAAGACCCAGTCGCGTCACAAAGGGGGGGGGGGGGGGGGGAGGTCGCGGCAAGCTACTGCCCCGGGTGCCGCTGACCCTCGTGACGCCATTGCTAAGACCACTTATTGAGATAAGAAATTAAGTACAGTGCGCAAAGAGGCGAGGACAACGAGAGTAGAGCAAAGGACGAGCGCCGACTACCACGTGAAGTTTTATTAAAAACGGCTCAAACAAGAAAAACACCCCAAAGCCAACACGCGTTGTAACTATTACGGCGTTACGTTAAGGCGTTGGTTCGCTTTGTGGTGTTTTTCTTGTTTGAGCCGTTTTTCAGCGCTCATCCTGTGCTCTACTCTCACTGTCCTCTTCTTTTTCCGCACCGTTCCTAATTTCTTAAGTCATGAACGACTCGCCTGCATCGCCACCTTAATATTGAGAATAGGAAACGCTGTCTTACTTCAGTGTCTAGAGGCCTTTGCAGTGTAATTGTTGACATTTATTATTACACAGCCAACTTAGCATGATTAATTGGAGTTTAATACAACCTTTCACTTGGTTATGAACTTCCCTAATAAAGTATTACAAACCTGCACTCTACGCTATCTTGAAGGTAAACACTTTTGAGAGATGCCTGTGTGAAATGTAGATGACTAAGAAATGCCCTTCGGGTGCACAGAAGTACTATGTAGAGAAAGGCAGGATGAGTGGAACCAAAAAGTTAAAAACATTTTCCATACAGACGCACAGTTTTGTACCTAATAGCATCTCATGCTTGAAGGAAAACTGAAGCGGTTCTGTATTTGAGGGAAAAAACGCTTAAATTGTGTTGATTGAGCCTCCAGGATCACAAATATCGAAATTATTTTTCTTTTTGGTGCATGGAGGCTGCAGAAATTAATTTTCATAACACCACTGAAGCCCCTCCTCTTAGGTGCGTGACGTCATACTAGGAGTTTTCGGAATAGGTTCTCGCGCATTTTCCGAGCCTATCGAAGCTAGGCACGCATACTCTTGTTTTTTTTTTCTTTCAGAAAGGTCAGAGACGGGAGATCAGTGCCCAATTGGGCTAGCGCACACCAGCTAGGAAAACGTGGAGCGAAAGCTCGCACTGCAGTACCCCGGGATCCTGGGTTCAATCCCCACCCCTGCCCGTTTCGATCTGGATGAGCATCATACCGGCGTGCGGTTGTGTACCACTACTGCGTGGTGCATGTTAAAGATCCCAGGCTAGCGGTTGTACCGCACTGGCTAAATTTCTCATCTACTTCGAGTGACTTGTCACAACTTTGAAATGGCTAACCAACTACACGCTGTCTAAATATCCACACAACAAGGTCAGAGACATCACGACTGGTATCAGTGTGGGGGAATATACCTTGCAAGCTTGCAGTTGCATGCCCTGCCCACACGAGCGACATATCTTAGCATGACGTCACGACTGGTCGGAGGTTTTTCGTGTTTTCTCATGTTTAGTTACGTCTTCCAGGAAACCGAACGGAACATTCAGATTCACTGGATAAAAATACGCCATAATTCACTTCTCACTCTTTTTTTCAAGAAGTGTTTTAGTTTTCTTTTAATATGACAATAAGTGACATCACAATTTATAAAAATTTCTTGTTTGTTATAGGGACTGTAAAGTACCCGGTGGATGGCGGGCCATCACAGGAAAGAACACACGAGGGCATGATCAAGGACATGGCGGCTGCCTCTGAGCAAGGAACTCGCATACAGGGAGCAAGGGGGTTGTCTCCCTTAGTCAACGTCAAAGGATTTGACATTGTGTGGTCGTTTAGTCCCGACTTTATGCATTGTGTACTGCTTGGGGTTGCAAAGCAGCTGACCGAGCTATGGCTCGCAACTCCTGGAGAGTCATACTACATTGGCGAACCAGGAACCGTAGCTCTAGTTGACGGCCGACTCTGCAGCATTAGACCGCCACAAATCTTCACCAGACTTCCAAGGTCATTAACACTTAGAAAATATTGGAAAGCTGCAGAGTGGCAACACTGGCTGTTGTATTTCAGTGTGCCTTGCTTACAAGGAATCCTGCCTGAGTGTTTCTTGGAGCACTTGTGCCTACTTGTGACAGGCATCTTCAGCTTGCTAAAAGACAAAGTGACACAGGAAGACGTGGATAGGAGCACTGGGTGCTTAGTAGAATTTGTTGCTAAGATGCAGTTTCTTTACACACAACAGCAGATGACTTACAACATACATCAGCTCCTTCACTTGCCGAAGTGTGTTGTAATGTTTGACCCGCTCTGGGCTCATTCCTGTTTCTCTTTCGAGACCAACATGGGTAGGCTTCTCAAGCTAGCAACTTCTGCAAACGGTGTCCCCATTCAAATCATGTCACGGTTGATGCTGAAGGATAGCATTACTGCATACAAGACTCTGGCAGCTGACGTCACTCTCGGCTGTATTTCTAGAAAAAACAGCACGCCATCACTGAGGAATTTGCCACTGCCATTGGGAAAGCCAAAATCTGTGGGTGAATCTCTGAAGAAGTTTGTTCTTGATTCTGTTGCACACACTGGACCTGCCACAGTTGCAGAGTATGACAGAATGTCAATTCATAATGTTTCCTTCCACAGTAGCAGCTATGAGAGGCAGACAAAAACAGACTGCAGGGGTATCAGACTAGCAGATGGCACATACGCTAAGATAGACCACATCATTGAGGTTGCTGGTGGAGAACTGACATCTGAGCTGTTTATTTCTTCGCATGTCTATTATGTGAGCAGCCTCCAAGGTACCCTGCACATCAAGGCTGCAACCAAGCGACCCCAGTATAAACTGTACAAAGTTGACATGACTATGATGCCATGCATATTCATGCAGCTTGAACAAAGAGCGTTTTTCTGCGATCTCGTTAACAGGTATGAGTGGTCTTAAACCTTACGTGAGGCCGTCATAACAATTGTTTTGCTTGCGGTAGCATGGATGTGGATTGTCTCAAGCAGTATGTGCTGTCTGTCAGTGCTTTGTGCAACAAGTGGTTGTGCAACCACCTGTTGCACAAACCCATGCTACCTTTTGTCAACTCATTGCAATGTATGAAAGTAAACCTGAAAGTTTTTTTAAGGGAGACTTATTTCGGCTGCTTCGGTTTACATTTCTGCTATTTCTCTGAATTCAATAAATAATTTTACCTGCATATATGTTTATCTCATGTGTCTGTTTTCTGCTTGAATTGTTTTGATTTGCAGAGGATGACTTCATGGGTCATTCATTTGTTAGTAACCCTCATGACACATGAAAGCTACTTGCACAAGACAGTGATCTGCAAGCATTTTTCCGGTTCATGGCCACTTGCCGCGAGATAGTACATTCCAAATAAAATTAAATGGAGGAGAGCACACATTTCTGGTACTAATTTTCTTTGTACCCCCTCCTCCCTGCTTCCCTCTCACAAGTTGCTTAGGTTTTCCTTCTGCATTATTCTTTTCCATATTATCACCTGCTTCCTACATGCATTTGTTTTATGTCTGAAAGCGCATACTGGTTGCATTTGCCCAGCAGAATGATGCCTCTGGCAATACCTGTTTAAACATTGAGACCACTACTGCACTGAGTATTAGTTTTCAGTATATCAAAAGCTTGTACCTTTGATTGAGAGGACTATACTCGTTTTCACCTCAAGAAAAAGGGAAGTTTTGCGCATTGTTCATACGCTGCGCGAAGTAGTTCTTACAATATTTGCTTGTCAGAGGAAGAAGCCATACTTTTGGTGTTTGAAACGTGTACGTCTTGATAAAATAACATATATTTGATCTGAAATGCACTTACACATATCTTAATTCTTTATATAAAGGGGAAAATAGTAATTATCTGCGAGAAGTCAGCCTTTTTTTATTACGGTTCTTGAGGTGAAAACGAGTATACAGTGCCTGACTTTAGTCCCCAATGCAAATGTGAGATAATATTTCTATCCAGTGGACATGAAACACCTAGTCCAGCTGGACTTGCCACCCCCAATTGGAGATCCAACTGGATCCAGAGATGGACTGCACCCCGTCCAGCTGGGATTAATGCAGCCCAGCTGGACCCAGTGCTATTCCAGCTGGAACTGGTCCCAGTCCAGATGGATTCAGTGCTGTTCCAGCTGGAGCTGGTCCCAGTCCAGATGGATCCAGTGCCATTCCAGCTGGAAGTGGTCCCAGTCTAGATGGATCCAGTGCCACTCCAGCTGGAACTGGTCATGGTCTAGATGGATCCAGTATCATTCCAGCTGGAACTATTAATTTCCAGCTGGGTTCAACTGGTTCCAGTTTCATTTGCAGCTGGAATCAGTTCCAAATTTTCACCTGGGTAACGCCCCTGAAAAGGTACGGTGGCGTGATTTCCTTACATATTTTGTAGCCGTGGCCTAGCTCGGCGAGTGAATCGCTCTGCACATCTTGACATTAACACAGCGTGCTTGCTTCGCAGGCATTTGAAGACGCCTTGGCTGCTTGCAGTCACTTTGAGGTTTCCCACAAGTGGAGAGAAACCCTCGACATCTGACTGCAACACCCCTGAAAAGGTACGGTGGCGTGATTTCCCTACATATTTTGTAGCCGTGGCCTAGCTCGGGGAGTGATTCGCTCTGCACATCTTGACATTAACACAGCGTGCTTGCTTCGCAGGCATCTGACGACGCCTTGGCTGCTTGCAGTCACTTTGAGGTTTCCCACAAGTGCAGAGAAACCCTCGACATCTGACTGCAACACCCCTGAAAAGGTACGGTGGCGTGATTTCCCTACATATTTTGTAGCCGTGGCCTAGCTCGGTGAGTGATTCGCTCTGCACATCTTGACATTAACACAGCGTGCTTGCTTCGCAGGCATTTGACGACGCCTTGGCTGCTTGCAGTCACTTTGAGGTTTCCCGCAAGTGCAGAGAAACCCTCGACATCTGACTGCAACACCCCTGAAAAGGTACGGTGGCGTGAGTTCTCTACATATTTTGTAGCCGTGGCCTAGCTCGGCGAGTGATTCGCTCTGCACATCTTGACATTAACACAGCGTGCTTGCTTCGCAGGCATTTGACGACGCCTTGGCTGCTTGCAGTCACTTTGAGGTTTCCCACAAGTGCAGAGAAACCCTCGACATCTGACTGCAACACCCCTGAAAAGGTACGGTGGCGTGATTTCCTACATATTTTGTAGCCGTGGCCTAGCTCGGTGAGTGATTCGCTCTGCACATCTTGGCATTAACACAGCGTGCTTGCTTCGCAGGCATTTGACGACGCCTTGGCTGCTTGCAGTCACTTTGAGGTTTCCAACAAGTGCAGAGAAACCCTCGACATCTGACTGCAACACCCCTGAAAAGGTACGGTGGCGTGATTTCCTTACATATTTTGTAGCCGTGGCCTAGCTCGGCGAGTGATTCGCTCTGCACATCTTGACATTAACACAGCGTGCTTGCTTCGCAGGCATTTGACGACGCCTTGGCTGCTTGCAGTCACTTTGAGGTTTCCCACAAGTGCAGAGAAACCCTCGACATCTGACTGCAACACCCCTGAAAAGGTACGGTGGCGTGATTTCCCTACATATTTTGTAGCCGTGGCCTAGCTCGGTGAGTGATTCGCTCTGCACATCTTGACATTAACACAGCGTGCTTGCTTCGCAGGTATTTGACGACGCCTTGGCTGCTTGCAGTCACTGTGAGGTTTCCCACAAGTGCAGAGAAACCCTCGACATCTGACTGCAACACCCCTGAAAAGGTACGGTGGCGTGATTTCCCTACATATTTTGTAGCCGTGGCCTAGCTCGGTGAGTGATTCGCTCTGCACATCTTGACATTAACACAGCGTGCTTGCTTCACAGGCATTTGACGACGCCTTGGCTGCTTGCAGTCACTTTGAGGTTTCCCACAAGTGCAGAGAAACCCTCGACATCTGACTGCAACACCCCTGAAAAGGTACGGTGGCCTGATTTCCCAACATATTTTGTAGCCGTGGCCTAGCTCGGCGAGTGATTCGCTCTGCACATCTTGACATTAACACAGCGTGCTTGCTTCGCAGGCATTTGACGACGCCTTGGCTGCTTGCAGTCACTTTGAGGTTTCCCACAAGTGCAGAAAAACCCTCGACATCTGACTGCAACACCCCTGAAAAGGTACGGTGGCGTGATTTCCCTACATTTTTTGTAGCCGTAGCCTAGCTCGGCGAGTGATTCGCTCTGCACATCTTGACATTAACACATCGTGCTTGCTTCGCAGGCATTTGACGACGCCTTGGCTGCTTGCAGTCACTTTGAGGTTTCCCACAAGTGCAGAGAAACCCTCGACATCTGACTGCAACACCCCTGAAAAGGTACAATGGCGTGATTTCCCTACATATTTTGCAGCCGTGGCCTAGCTCGGTGAGTGATTCGCTCTGCACATCTTGACATTAACACAGCGTGCTTGCTTCGCAGGCATTTGACGACGCCTTGGCTGCTTGCAATCATTTTGAGGTTTCCCGCAAGTGCAGAGAAACCCTCGACATCTGACTGCAACACCCCTGAAAAGGTGCGGTGGCGTGATTTCCCTACATATTTTGTAGCCGTGGCCTAGCTCGGCGAGTGATTCGCTCTGCACATCTTGACATTAACACAGCGTGCTTGCTTCGCAGGCATTTGACGACGCCTTGGATGCTTGCAGTCACTTTGAGGTTTCCCACAAGTGCAGAGAAACCCTCGACATCTGACTGCAACACCCCTGAAAAGGTACGGTGGCGTGATTTCCCTACATTTTTGTAGCCGTGGCCTAGATCGGCGAGTGATTCGCTCTGCACATCTTGACATTAACACATCGTGCTTGCTTCGCAGGCATTGGACGACGCCTTGGCTGCTTGCAGTCACTTTGAGGTTTCCCACAAGTGCAGAGAAACCCTCGACATCTGACTGCAACACCCCTGAAAAGGTACGGTGGCGTGATTTCCCTACATATTTTGTAGCCGTGGCCTAGCTCGGCGAGTGATTCGATCTGCACATCTTGACATTAACACAGCCTGCTTGCTTCGCAGGCATTTGATGACGCCTTGGCTGCTTGCAGTCACTTCGAGGTTTCCCACAAGTGCAGAGAGATCCTTGACATCTGGCATGCACTGTTGCAGTCTCTGCAACTCCACTGGACCTTTTTCTTTGCATGGCATGTAGCCGTGGGTTCCTTTGCCCTGCACAGCTACGAGTTCTTTTTCTTCAGACAGGCGTCTCAAAGGCCTATATGACAACCATGTATTGTTTTGCTTTTAGCTTGTTTGATTTGGTTTTTAAGTGATGAATTTTTTCTAATAAATATGATATGGCAAGTTTGCCAGCCAGGTTTTGGTTATGAAATACATGTGCTTATTGTGTATTGTGCTTGTTTGTTTTCAGGTTCCCTGGTTGCATCTCGTTCAGCAATCTGTGACTAAAGGGAAGCTGTTGTTATGAAGAATTTCATATTTGGTAAAAGAATAATGGAGGAAGCTTTTTAATGCACTGGTGCATTTTGGTTGTGTATAACTGGTGAATAGTACACTGCTTTGCTAAAGGCACAGTAATTTTCTTTTTCTCTAGTACATTTAATTTGTGTTCAAATAATAAAATATAATTTTTGTCCAAATAATGCCTTTTTGGGCCGATCGTATAGTATTGAATTCACCATGACCTGGATTTCTAAAGTGAGTCCCATTTCCCAGTCTTATATTTTTGTTTCTGCTGGGCAATGTAATTTCAGAGAGGATTGGTAGTCCTGTATAAAAGCAGCATTCGGCATACCCATATGTTCTGACACACTTTTTTTCTCCCGCCAAGACAGTTTCTTTTTTTTTTTTTAAGCTTGGTTGACCAAATTGATGTTAATCAATATTCCCAGATAGGTGCTTATGATGTTTTGCTACTGGTGGCCTGGAATAAAAGGAGTGCTCAGTACCCAGCCTTCTATCAGACTGTTTTTTGTCTTTGTTGAACATGCTTGTTGCTGCTGGTCAACATTGGCCAGACAGGTGCTGATTATGTTTTTCGGACCAGTGGCCGGGGATAAAAAGAGTAATCAATATTCAGCCTTCTACCAGGCACTTTTTTGTCTTCGTTAACCAAGTTCATGCCGGTCAACA